GTTGTCAAAAACAGACAACACTGGACAGCTTCTTTAACAAAGAAAAAAAATCAAATGCTAGTGAATCCCCATCATCTTCAAATGCTTCTGCACAGAGACAGAAAAGAGAAAAACACCAGACAGTTACCTGATGCTTTTATTGAAGGTGACACCCTTTACAAACAAAAACATCTCTACACCTTCTCTTAGGCCATCAGTACAGTGGACCCTCGACTAACGCTATTAATCCGTTCCTGAGAGCTCATCGTTAGTCAAAATAATCGTTAGTCAAAGTTAATTTTCCCCATAAGAAATAATGGAAATCAAATTAATCCGTGCAAGACACCCAAAAGTATTGAAAAAAAAAATTTAACACATGAAATATTAATTTTAATACACACAAACTGAAGAAGACATGCACAGTTACATGACACTTACCTTTATTGAAGATCTGGTGATGAGTGATGGGATGGGAAGAGGGGAGTGTGTTGGTCTTAGTGTTTAGAAGGGGAATCCCCTTCCATTAGGACTTGAGGTGGCAAGTCCTTTTTTGGGGTTACTTCCCTTCTTTTAATGCCACTAGGACCAGCTTGAGTGTCACTGGACCTCTGTCGCACAACATATCTGCCCATAGAGGCCTGTACCTCCCGTTCCTTTATGACATTCCTAATGTGTTTTACAACATTGTCAGTGTCACCATTAAACACTTGTTCAGGTTTCAGTCCTTCATTGTCTATGTACTCCTTGAATTCCTGCACATATTTTTCAGCTGCTTTTTGGTCCAAACTGGCAGCCTCACCATGCCTTATCACACTATGTATGCCACTACGATTCTTAAATCTCTCAAACCAACCTTTGCTGGCCTTAAATTCACTCACATCACCACTAGTTGCTGGCATTTTTCTAATTAAATCGTCATGCAACTTCCTAGCCTTTTCACATATGATCGCTTGAGAGATGCTATCTCCTGCTATCTGTTTTTCGTTTATCCATACCAATAACAGTCTCTCAACATCTTCTATCACTTGCAATCTCAGTTTCGAAAACATAGTTGCACCTTTGGCAAGAACAGCTTCCTTGATTGCCGTTTTCTTGGCCACAATAGTAGCGATGGTTGATTGTGGTTTTGTGTACAGCCTGGCCAGCTCGGAGACATGCACTCCACTTTCATACTTAGCAATGATCTCTTTCTTCATATCCATAGTAATTCTCACCCTTTTTGCTGTAGGGTTGGCACTAGAAGCTTTCTTGGGGCCCATGGTGATTTATTTTGCAGGTGCAATCACTAAAAAGGCTGTGATAATATGAAATGTTCTGATTGTATGCTTGGAAGCGACCGCGGTGGCTGGCTGGCTTGTAAACACTGGCCAGAAGTGGACGCGTCTCAGACGGAAGGAATAGTGTTGGTTGAGTTTTTTAGCGCTAATCGAGGCAAAATTTTTCCGATAAAATGTATCGCTAGTCAGATTTATCGTTAATCGATGCCATCGCTGGTCGAGGGTCCACTGTACTCCTCAGTGAAGGTAAAGTGCAGTTATTTTCATTTCATGCATTTATTGCTTTTATAGTTTTCATGTATCACTTTATGCATGCAAATATTATTATACAGGTTTAAATAAGCATATTTTCACTTAAAATGTTTTATAATTGGTAATTTTTAGGGATCTGGTATAGATTAATCCAATTTACAGTACAGTGGACCCGCTAACGATTACTCGAATGCGAAACAATATTAGTGATTGGAATGCGTTTGTAGTGTATGTTTGGGTCGAAATGACTAATCTACTTCACAATATCCTTGGAAATAAATTCGGTCAGTACTGCACCTGAACATAACGGATGAAAAATTCGTTACGGGTCCACTGTATTCTTAGGCAAAACTTGATTCAACCATTTCAACACTCACCTACCAAATCCTCCGGAACGGTTATTCGAATACCAGTTACCACTTACAAACTATGCATGCTCTCTGCAATCCTTACATACCTTCCCTCTCATTACTTACTATCTCTAGCCTACATTCTCGATAGTTGTTTATTCCTTATTTAAAATTTTAACTTGTCTTACCTACTGATATAATCATTTACCCCAATTTATCACACATCACTGTAGTTCCTAAATATCTGATAAATCAGTTGACCCAGTAAAAGATGACATCCGAAATCTAACATCACCTTATCTATTAACTCTTTGATGTCGCAAGCCCTTTCGAAAAACTGTCATTCTATGTCGCAAAATATTCGAAAAAAAATAAAATTTCTTATGAAAATGTTAAGATTATTTTTCTGAGTGTTTCAGTCCCCAAAAAAATTTTTGCCATCAGTACTTACCGAGATATAGAGCTGTGAAGTTTGCAGAAAATGAGCTGCGTATGGCAACAGCGGCGACTGCCGCTCACCCCGTAAACTTTAGTTTACTTGTATTTGAAGTTTTTTTTTTTTCACTACTTTATTTTTTCACATAACTTATGTGGCCTATGTGACCAAAGTAACGTGCAATGTACATATATACACTCGTTGTATACAACACAATAAGCACACAAACATAATTATCAATATATTGTTTACAAAACTTGTTTACAAAAACAAACAATACAAAAATTTTTTTATTACTATGTTCTATAATATATATACCAATGTACAGTCACCGAACATATTCCAAGAAGTTCTGCAGCTTGTGGAACTCTCTGAAACATGTTTTCATACACAATGGTGTTTTACACTCCTCACACATAAAACCAGTGTGTGTGCATTTTTGTGGACTTTTTTTTTTATGTGCAAAGACAAAACACCTCGTCTGAGCAGTTTTCTTCAAAGTATTAGCAGGCAGTTGTGTTATGTAGTTATCCTAGGTAAATGGTCGTGTGTCATCATTCCTTCCTTCCTATTTTCCTGATGACGCAGTCTTGTGGCTCTTTCTGAGACAGAGAGCTAGACCGATAGACAGGGAGCTTGACAGACAGACACATAGACAGACAGAAATGTTTGTGTACCAGCAAAAACAAAGGGAGGGCAATGGTCATCTAATCTTTCCTTATCAGCTCCACCCTCGTTTACTCTCATCAAAGTCAGCTCTTATCAGATGTTATCTCCCTTTATCTTGTCAGTCATGGGGTGGACTTTTTTTTTTCTTGCTTCAAAGGAACAATATCATCATCATATCATCATCATCATCATCATCATCATCATCTTCTTCATCTATATCATCTTCATCTTCTTCATCTTCTTCATCATCTTCTTCCTCCTCTTCTTCTTCCTCCTCCTCTTCTTCTTCCTCCTCTTCTTCTTCCTCTTCTTCTTCCTCCTCTTCTTCTTCCTCCTCTTCTTCCTCTTCTTCTTCCTCCTCTTCTTCTTCCTCCTCTTCTTCTTCCTCTCTTCTCCTCCTCCTCCTCTTCTCTCTCCTCCTCCTCTTCTTCCTCCTCTTCTCCTCCTCCTCCTCTTCTTCTCCTCCTCCTCCTCTTCTCCTCCTCCTCCTCTTCTCCTCCTCCTCCTCTCTCCTCCTCCTCCTCTTCTCCTCCTCCTCCTCTTCTCCTCCTCCTCCTCTTCTCCTCCTCCCCTCTTCTCCTCCTCCTCCTCTTCCCTCCTCCCCTCTTCTCCTCCTCCTCCTCTTCTCTCCTCCTCTCTTCTCCTCCTCCTCTTCTCCTCCTCCTCCTCTTCTCCTCCTCTCTCTCTCTCCTCCTCCTCCTCTTCTCTCCTCCTCCTTCTCCTCCTCCTCTTCCTCCTCTTCTCCTCCTCTTCTTCTCCTCCTCATCCTCTTCTCCTCCTCCTCTCTCCTCCTCCTCCTCCTCCTCCTCTTCTCCTCCTCCTCTTCTCCTCTTCCCCTCCTCTTCCTCTTCTCCTCTTCCTCTTTCTCCTCTTCCTCTTTCTCCTCTTCCTCTTCCTCCTCCTCTTCCTCCTCCTCCATTGCTTTTGGTCTCAAACTCCTCGAAATCATGAAATTGATCTTCACTGACACTTCCATCTGTGTTAGAGCATCACTTGGGAAGAGAAGAGTCACAGATTTGCTGGGGAGTCACATATTTCTTACCACTAGACATGCTGAAAAAGGACAACTGAAATGGCATTCCCACAATGCACCACTGGCTCCCCGATTTTTTTTATATGGTGCACACTGACCATGGAGACCCATTCTCTCACATGTGGGCCTACCAGCTTTCTATTTGAAGCCGCTAGAATTTATGCATATAAATACCTCAGAAACAGTGGTGCGTAAGACATATATATACAGCGTCAACAGTCAAAGGGTTAATACATACTAGTCCAACAAACTGCTATCATCACTCCCCTTAGTGTATCTCGTATACTTATTTATCCTCTTTTTTTTTTTTTAAATATGTATTACCTATTAATGAACCTCTCTCTCTCTCTATACATAGCTCAATTAGAGGCCCTCCATTATCATTTACCCTTTTGCACTCCAAACTTACCTACTATGCCCTCTACAAGAGTTTCTCTCACTATCATTTAGACCCCACAACACTTTTTTTTATATTTTTTTATTATTACCACATCGGCCATTTCCCACCAACTTCATCTGGTTGGGTCTTCATTTTCTTAAAAACTGGTGCAAGACATTTATATTGAAAACCAACCAACCACATAATTTCATTCAAAATATACTAAATGACTTCTCATGCCTAAGTCCTTGGAGTGATAATGACATTTTGTAAAAAAAATCAAGGGGTGCTAGGACTGGGTGATCACTTGTGAGCAAATTTAGCCTTCAAACAGTGAATAACTGACAGAAGTGGAGTTGCTGCATTTCAGTGAATTTGCACAAAGCAAAACTACATGTAGTGTAGAAAACCTTTATAAATTTACATGCATCCAGTACTTCATTATGCCTTTAAAGTAATCTGAATTAATAATCTACACATAGCTGTATCAGTAAATTATTAAATAATTCCTATGAAGCTTTCTTATACTTCATTTGCAAAAGTAATTATACTTAATAGTGTAATGAATCCATTAATATGAGAATGACATACATACAGTAGAGTATATGGCAACTGACTTACAGCTCAATGAATTTTTTCCCCCTAGATGAAAGTGATAGCATTGCTCGTTTATAGCTTGGCACTCGCTGCTGCCAGCCCCTCCTCCACTTCCTGGGAGCTCTTCAAGGTAATGCTACTTATTTTCTTTTTATTAACACACTGACTGTTTCCCACCAAGGCAAGTTAATCCAAAAAAAGAAGAAGAAACACTTTCATCATCACTCACTTCATCACTGTCTTGCCAGAGGCATGCTGATGCTGATACTGCAACATATCTCCACCCCTCCTTCAGAGTGCAGGCACTGCACTTCCTACCTCCAGGATTCAAATCCAGCTAACCAGATTCCCTGAATCCCTTCATAAATGTTACCTTGCTCACACTCCAAGAGCATGTCATGTCATAAGAACCATTTGCTATTGTCACACTTATGTATTCTTATGGCACATCCAAAGTGTGCAATGCTTGGCTAGTGTAGGTGTAGATGTGTTATTCTTAGCTTGGACACAAATTAGTAGTTAATGTTTTATTCATGTGTGGTGATTTCTTGTCCCAGTATTGCTGACAGAACCTCATGTAGTAAATGTATGTTGTGATCCTCTTAGGTTCAGCTACAGAAAATCAAAGGAAGTAACCTGTAAGAGGCACTACTCTAGTATTTCCCTCTCCCATTCCAAGGGAAAAGCCCCCATCTACTTGCACACACTATTGTATTTATAAAAGAAAACACTGTAGACTGATTTCTCAAGAAAGTCCTGTAATGCCTTTCATTTTCCACATTTTAAATTCCACTGAAAAGTTATACATTTATGTTTATGGTAAAAGCATGAATTAGATCCTACAGATGCAGATATCAATTACCAGGATCTGGTGTTCCACATGAATGCAAACTTGATAATTCAAAATAATCATGGGTATTTAAATGAGGTTGTATATGTATGAACTGGTGTCCACAGGCTCAACATGGTCGTCACTACCTGGATGTCAGGGAGGAGCGCTACCGCCAGAGTGTGTTTGAGAAGAATCAGCAGTTCATCAATGATTTCAACGAGAAGTTTGAGAGAGGAGAGGTCACATACAGCCTCAAGATGAATCAGTTTGGTGACATGGTCAGTTTGTGTGTTCACAGTTTTTCAAAGTTAAAAAAATCCTAAAACACAGTAACAAGATTCATAGTCACATTATTATATATGTATTTCAAAAAACAATTAGCCTTGATTACACTGTTCCTTCATGCAACAACTGGTACAAAAATTTTTGTTTTCCCAAGGTAGTCACTTCGGGAAAACAAAAATTTGTGCGGTGTTAAGAAATTAGTATTATTTTTTTTTTTTTTTATTATCACACTGGCCGATTCCCACCAAGGCAGGGTGGCCCGAAAAAGAAATTAGTAATTATGGTATATTTCATATACAGTGGACCCCCGGTTAACAATATTTTTTCACTCCAGAAGTATGTTCAGGTGCCAGTACTGACCGAATTTGTTCCCATAAGGAATATTGTGAAGTAGATTAGTCCATTTCACAGCCCCAAACATACACATACAAACGCACTTACACAAATACACTTACATAATTGGTCGCATTCGGAGGTGATCGTTATGCGGGGATCCACTGTGTAATACAATAAATAATTTGCTGGTCCATGACCAGGCCTTGGGGGCCTGGTCATGGACCAGGCCATTGGGGCATTGACCCCAGGAACACCCTCGCGGTATAACTTGACAATCTTTCTTTCAACACACCGGCCGTATCCCACCGAGGTGGGGTGGCCTAAAAGGAAAAACGAAAGTTTCTCCTTTTACATTTAGTAATATATACAGGAGAAGGGGTTACTAGCCCCTTGCTCCCGGCTTACGGAGGAAGAATTCTGTTCCACTTCCCCATGGAGGTAAGAGGAGATAAACAAGAACAAGAACTAGAAAGAAAATAGAAGAAAACTCAGAGGGGTGTGTATATATATGCTTGTAAATGTATGTGTAGTGTGAGCTAAGTGTAAGCAGAAGTAGCAAGACGTACCTGAAATCTTGCACGTGTACGAGACAGAAAAAAAAGACACCAGCAATCCTACCATCATGTAAAACAATTACAGGCTTCCATTTTACACTCACTTGGCAGGATGGTAGTACCTTCCTGGGCAGTTGCTGTTTACCAACTGACTACCTAGAATAACTTGACAATAGGTGAATAATATTCTTAAGGACAATTTAAAATTCTTGTCCCACAGGCAAATACGATTACATATTGTCATTATATCTGTTAATTATTTCTGCACAAACTGAGTAGGTAGAGGTCTATCACTTCCTTTTGATTATAATAATAATAATTAGTAATGAGTAGGTAGAGAGTGATATTTAATGACTGAGATAATACTTAAAATATATTCTTTAGCAGGGAAGAAATGACACACATACACTGCATTTTTTCCTGATTACAACAGACATATAGAATATATTTGAAAGATAAATTAAGAATTGATTTGTATAAGTTGCATAATCATTTCATGCCTTATAGTGTGGGGATTATGATGATTCTTAATTAAAAAAATAGGTATGTAATTGTTTTATTATTTGAGTTTTGCTTTTGAAGACAGACTTGATTTTTAACTAGTTGATCAACCAGGCTGTAGCTGCCACAAGCCCACAGACGTACATAGCCATCACAACTTGGTAGACCTGGCACTAGTTTCAGACTGAGATAAAATACTGGATTTAGTGTTACAGTAGGGCCCCATTTATACAGCAGGTTAGGTTTGAGGCTATCGCCGGAGAGCAGACATTGCCAGAAAGCAGAACGCCATATTTTTCCATTTATGAATAGTACAAGCACAGTATAGCACTTCGTCTGGATTTTTTGTGTTATCCTAGGTAATTTACACAATGTATAATTGTATTTGTGTACCTGTGAGACAGAGATAAACAGAGATAGACACAGATACAGACAGACAGACAGACAGACGGAGATAGAGCCGGCCAGCCAGTTGGCCAGCCAGGCAGCTACCCAGCCAGCCAGCCCGCCTGCCAAACACGTATCACACATTCCAGAATTGTTTCTCTTTATTTAAGGCATAGATTATAAGACATTCTGAAAGGGCATTGCACAAATGTTGCACATGGGTTATTATCGAGGTTTTTGATATTTCCTTGACCACTTATGGCCACATCCACCTCAAAGCCCCTAAACTCGGGGTCAACATCATGTTCCTCTTAACTCATAAACATCCAAACATATATATATACGTTCTTACCGCTAGTGCCCCAAACGTATATTTGCATTTTAGTGCACTGTATCAAAAAAAATCTGTGACCACTTAGTACCCCGTGGGAGCGCCAGTTAAACTGAGCGCCAGCTAAAGAAAACAGCGCAGCAAACACCAAGGATTCACTGATGTCATGTCATATTAACACTCTCCTTTCAAGAGGAAAGTGATGTTGACCCCAAGTTTAGTGGCTCTGAGGTGGATGTGGCCACAAGTGGTCGAGGAAATATCAAAAACCTCGATAATAACCCATGGGCAACATTTGTGCAACACCCTTTCAGAATGTTTTATAACCTATGCCCTAAGTAAAGAGAAACAATTCTGGAATGTGTAATAAGTGTTTGGCAGGCAGGCTGGCTGGCTGGCTGGCTGGCTCTATCTCTGTATGTCTGTCTGTCTGTATCAATGTCTATCTCTGTCTATATCTGTCTATCTCTGTCTATCTCTTTCTATCTCTGTCTCACAGGTACACATAAATACAATTATACATAATGTAAATTACCTAGGATAACCCAAAAAATCAAAAGTGCTATACTGTGCTTGTAGATATATTGTGTAAGAATACCTGTTGGTTCACAGTGGCTCTCTCTGAGACAGAGACAGAGACAGAGAGAGAGAGAGAGAGAGAGAGAGACGAGATGAGAGGAGAGAGAGAGGAGGAGAGAGGAGAGAGAGAAGAGAGAGGAGAGAGAGGAGAGCAGAGAGAGAGAAGCAGAGAGAGAGAGCAGAGAGAGAGGAGAAGCGAGAGAGAGAGAAGCAGAGAGAGAGAGAGAAGCAGATGAGAGAGAGAAGCAGAGAGAGGAGAGAGAGCAGAGAGAGAGAGAGAGAGAGAGCGAGAGAGAGAGAGAAGCAGAGAGAGAGAGGAGAGAGAGAGAGAAGCAGAGAGAGAGAGGGGAGGAGAGAGAGGAGAAAAGATGAGAGAGAGAGAGAGAGAGGAGGAGGAGAGAGAGGAGAAAAGAGGAGAGAGAGAGATAGTGAGAGGGGGAGGGAGAGAGAGAGAGGGGAGAGAAGAAGAGAGAGAGAAAGAGAGAGAGAAGCCAGAGAGAGAGAGAGAGAGAGAAAAGAGAGAGAGGAGAGAGAAGAGAGAGAGAGGAGAGGAGAGAGAGAGAGGAGAAGCAGAGAGAGAGAGAGGAGAGAGGAGAGAGAGAAGAGAGAGAGAGAGGAGAGAGGAGAAGAGAGAGAGAGAGATGAGAGAGAGAGAGAGAGAGAGTAGAGAGAGAGAGAGAGAGATAGAGCAGAGAGAGAGAGAGAAACAGCAGAGAGAGAGAGAGAGAGAGCAGACAAGAGAGGAGAAGAGAAAGCAAGGAGAGAGAGAGAGAGAAGAGGAGAGAGGAGAGAGAGAAGCAGAGAGAGAGAGAGAGAGCAGAGAGAGATGAGAGAGAGAGAGAGAGAGAGGAGGAGAGCAGATGAGAGAGAGAGAGAGAGAGAGAGAGAGAGAAAAGCAGAGAGAGAGAGAGGAGAGAGAGGAGAGAGAGAGGAGAGAGAGAGAGAGAGAAGCAGAGAGAAGAGAGAGAGAAAGAGAGAGAGAGAGAGAGAGAAGCAGAGAGAGAGAGAGAGAGAGAGAGAAGCATCTGAGATCATACATACCAGGATGACTCGAGTATGGAACACATTTGTACAGCATAATGATGTCAACGAGATAAAGTCAGTTGATCAAATGAAAATGCTGGCCCACAGATGGCTCCAACTTCACCCTGTTCCCTACTTGTATGTCTCATAACAATTAAAAATGCTTTCAAATGAGCTGATGTAGGTAAAGCTCTTAGCTTGCCATAAAGTTAGGAATCCTTAACCTGTAAATAGCTTGTCAATAAAGTTAGGGATCCTTAACCTTGTCAAACCCTGTGTAAAAAAAAAAAAAAAAAAAAAAAAAAGCAGAGAGAGAGAGAGAGAGATGAGAGAGAGAGAGAGAGAGGAAAGGAAAGCAGAGAGAGAGAGAGAGAGAGAGAGAAGGAGAGAGAGAGAGATGAGGAGAGAGAGAGTGAGAGAGAGAGAGAGAGAGAGAGAGGAAGAAAGAAGCAGAGAGAGAGAGAGAAGCAGAGAGAGAGAGAGAAGCAGAGAGAGAGAGAGAAGCAGAGAGAGAGAGAGAAGCAGAGAGAGAGAGAGAAGCAGAGAGAGAGAGAGAAGCAGAGAGAGAGAGAGAAGCAGAGAGAGAGAGAGAGACAGAGAGAGAAAGCAGAGACAGAGAGAGAAGCAGAGACAGAGAGAGAGAAGCAGAGACAGAGAGAGAGAAGCAGAGCCAGAGAGAAGCAAAGACAGAGAGAGAGGAGCAAAGACAGAGAGAGAGAAGCAAAGACAGAGAGAGAGAAGCAGAGACAGAGAGAGAGAAGCAGAGACAGATAGAGAAGCAGAGACAGAAAGAGAGAGACAAGCAGAGACAGAGATGCTGATGCTTATCAAATGTCACCCCTTATCTTATCACTGCACCCTCGTGGATGCTTGTCACTGACACTTGTCTTACATCATGCTTCAAGGGAACTTATTATTATTATTATTATTATTATTATTATTTTTTAACAAGTCGGCTGTCTCCCACGGAGGCAGGGTGACCCAAAGAGAAAGAAAATCCTCAAAAAGAAAATACTTTCATCATCATTCAACACTTTCACTTCACTCACACATAATCACTGTTTTTGCAGAGGTGTTCAGAATGCAACAGTTTAGAAGTATATACGTATAAAGATACACAACATACCCCTCTAAACTGCCAATATCCCAAACCCCTCCTTTAAAGTGCAGGCATTGTACTTCCCATTTCCAGGACTCAAGTCCGGCTATATAAAATAACTGGTTTTCCTGAATCCCTTCACTAAATATTACCCTGCTCACACTCCAACAGCTCGTCAGGTCC